CCAAGGTTCAGAAAGCACAGCCAGGCAGAAAGGCTTTCTTACCCACCCTGTAACAAATTAAGAACTTAAGTAAAAATGCAAATCCACAGAAATGACCATATGCCTAAGGCAGAAGTCAGGAAAGGGCATTGTCATGACCAGTTGTTCCACATCCATGCAAAAATCTGGGGTGTTGTCAAAAAGCTCAGCGTCTGTGGTAACTATTGGATATTTCATGTGAGAGAGTATTCAAAGCAAAGTTTAAATCTATCATATGTCCCAGTTGCGGGCAATAATAATAAATAAGTCATTGTGTCTCAAACGCCTCTCATCACTGCAGATCTATGGCTGGTACTGTGTAAATCAGAAAGAGTAGATTGTCTTTTCAGGAACATATCGACACTTCAGTTTTGTTCATACTCCAGAAAGAATGTAGTGAAAATGGGAACACTGCACTGCTGTGATACTTGGATTATAATTACCATAGTGAAGATGATACCAACCAAAAAATATGGGTTTGGCAATATCCTGCTTCAGTTTCCAATTTATAAAGAAGCGAGGAGACCTCTGTTACTGATTAAGAGGATACTCTATGCTGCCCTTTCAATTGTGCATATTTAGTCACTAACTCCTTTTCTTCTCAAGGATATATATAAAAGTTATCATGCATATGTGTTGCACTATTACCAGGAAATTGTATCCATTTACACATCACATATTGCAGACTTATCATTACTCGAGGTCACTCAGAATGGCTGTTTATCCTAGCAGTCTTCTGTATGCTTTTATTTGTGCTTCATTGCTCTTCTCAAATTAGCTAAAAATGAATAACTAAAAAGTACAATTTTATTTAAGTTTAAGTTTCTTTTTGCTGATGCCTGCCTCTGCCACCACCTGGTATGGACAGTTAGGTAAGAATGACAAAAGAAAAACTTTGATAAATAGGAAGAGGAGTTTGCAATTTTGCTGGAGGACTCCATAAACTGTGGATATCTGAGAATTCCTTCAGGTTTCTGAGTGTTGAAAGTCTTGCTTGAACTAGAGATTCTTAGTTTCCACAGGTACTAATATTATTTCTGATGGCAGGCTGACAGATAATGTTCTAGGCAAATTCCAGGATTTTTGTCTGTGCAGATCAGACTGGCATTATTGGCAAAGTTATAAAAGAAGCCCACGTATTAAAGACTTGTTAGTATGAAAGCTTTTGAGACAATTGCTGCATGAAATTAGAATCTTTGCTGGTGATGCCTTTACAAATATTTATATGCCATTGAAATCTCCTGGTAAAAGCAGCAGTAGAGTTTTTGTGACTCAGAAAAGCCCACCTTAACACGTAGCAGAGATAGGCAAAAAATAGAGGAGATACTGGTAAAAAAGCAGAACAGTGCAGCTGGGAATGTCATTTAAAAGCTGTCAATGAAATCTGGAAGCAGCACTGATGTTGTTCCAGAGAGTATCCTGGTGAGTAGGTGAACGATGAGTGGGATAAAATCCTTTTGCATATTTGTTAAAATTGCTTTTTTTGAAGGATGCCTTTAAATTATGAAAGAAATGGTATCTTTAGCTTACAGCACCTCAGAGTTATTGTAAACAAGTGTATAGCACACCCAGTTAAGCCATATCTAAACAGAATTTTTCTCAAAGCAGAAAAGAGTTCCATTCACCTTTCATTAGAGGATACCAGAGAGGAAGATGCGGATGATACCTAAAAAACCTCCCCTAAACCCTCCAGTCCGTGATGTTTTGGAGAGTTAAAAGATTTGCAATTAACTAACATGAAAAAACTCAAAGTTGGATTTTGCTACAGAGAAGGGAGTGGGCTAGATCCAACTGGGCACTATTTACATCAGTAGATATTATATGTATATTTGCCAGTCAAGTACAGACTGTTGTAAAGTTCTTAATGGACTGTAAACAAACAAATATTTTCTTTCTGTCTTTCTAAGGTGTGAGATGGATCCCAAAGAGGGTCAATGGGGCAGGCTGGATAGGGCATTGATAGTATCTAGGGAAAGAAAAGGACTAGGAGTCATGGCATGTCATCTACCCCGTAAGACACTAATTGCTTGTCTTACTTAGGTGGAGGGGTCACCTTTACTTAACCCGGAAAAGGAACGTGTATCAAATATATATGTTTTATAAATAACCTTCCACACACTGCTTCTCATCTGTGTTCATTAGAAACTGGATTTGCAGAAAGAAAAGTTGGTTCATTTTCCATGTTCATCCAATCTAAGTTTTTTGGTGACTCACGATGCCAGCAATACTGCTAATTATTGCCATAATAAGCACAATAAAGCAACTAAGCATAAAGAGGTGGCTAATTGCAGGCCCACATGATGGTCCTGGTATTCATTTAAACTTTTCTTTCAGCCTGCCTTTTGCTGAAAATTTTAACGTAAGCTCTCCTACAGTAACGCTTCTCTGTTGCTTTATTCAGCACCACTGTGGTCTTTCATGATTATTTTCTGCAGCACCCATTAACACACCATAGAAACAGTCAGCAACCACTAATCAGCTATGCCTCACTGAAACTTGGTTTGTCAGGAAAAATTAACATCTTCGTTTTATACAGTCAGAGCAGGGTGGGTCCCACACAGCAAAGACACTGCAGAGCCAAGACACCTCTCTTGCTCATGCTGCTGACCCCGTTGTTCTGCTTCACTCACCCTCTTCCCGACTGTAAGGAAGCATTGAGATTCCAGAATTTACCACAGATTTCCTCTGGTTTTCGGTCTGGATTGTTGATTCTTGAATTCTTTACAAAGGCACATTTGAAAACAATAATTTGCAATTTGGCACTCTGTGAGGATTTTCCCAAAAAGCCAATTCCTCTGTGTTACTGCATGTAGCCTGGGAGAGTGTAGCTGTACTTCTAAATGACTCTCCCTCCCCTCAGGGTCTTTGTATCAACAACTTTGCCTTGTTATGTCTTATATAAAACAAAAATTTCTTCCTGACATCTGCCCAGCTGTTATTTTTTTTTCTGTCTTTCCTCTCATGTACCATGCAGTCATCTGTCTTACCATTTGAGAATATGTCATTTAAAATTATCGGGAAAAGTATGGAAAATAGCCATAGTACAAATTCCAGAGGCAAATTACATATTTGACTCAGAACTGTATTTTAAAATAATAGCAGCTTAGGCTTTAAAAAAGAAAAAAAAGGGCAGCTACATAAAAGTACTTTCAATTACTTTCTCATTGGTGCTCTGAGAGATGAATCTAAAAGACAGGTTCCGTATTGATTTACACCTTCAGCAATCCTTTCTCTGAGATGTTCATATTTAGGTCTCGTACCTGATCATACTTGGCCTCTACTTTACTGACATTTATCTCAAACAATTCAAAAGACAATTCAAAGAAACAGTGTTTGATCTGAGAAAATCTCTGAAGAAAAAAACCCAAAAACTTTATTATAGCAAGATTTCTATTGAAACTGTTAATATATTTAAGTAACCTGAGAAATTGAATATATTTTTTTGTGGAAAGTACTAGGATAAGAGAAGTCAGATACTGAACTTGATAGAATATCGTTAAAGGAAAAAATGGCCTTGTTGTATTATAGGAAAGCAATCTTTAAGTTGAAAAATCACTTCTGAGTACATGCTCAACAGGTAATACTTTTCACATCGCCATAGTGAAGCTGCATTCTTAATAGCATATCTTTAATATATCCTAATGAAATACATGATAAAGTACGTAATGTTAAAGAATGTACTGTACAGCTGAGATAATGTTGGATGTTGAGGTTTGAGATATTCACTTTTTAATTCTGGGAGATTTTCACTTCAAATTTAAAACTGTATAAGAACATTTCTGGCTTTTTATTATTTACAAACAGAATTGCCATTAAAATGTGCTTACTAGAACAAAAGAATATAAACTACCACACACGTTCGGTAAAAGTGTGTTCAGTGATGAAGAAACCTGAGTGTTAACCCCAGCTATGAAGAGTCAATGAACTTTAATGAAAACTTTCTAGGAGAGGTAAGAACTATTTTGGGCTTGGAGTGGTTTGTTCTGCTCTGATAATGCCTAGATAGTCTAAAGCTGGTATACCTGTTTTGGAAAGCAATCATCCTCAGTCAGGTGGATACAAAGTCCCACAAGTCCCTAAAGCATCCCTCTTCTGGCTAGGACACCTTTTTTCTATGGCAGCTGCCAGCAATCTGAAGGGTCATAGAAAGTTTTTACGTGACACTTGCTAGAACTCACTTTGTCAAACTTGGCACAAAACTAGAGGGAAAGGAGCAGGTAAAGAAATGGCTTTAGGGCATTTGTGC